ATTATTACCAATAATTGTTACTTTATTGGAATTCATAGGTCGGAGAAGATTTGTAAATTTTAATAATCTGTTAGTATAAACTGCATTTGGATGAATTACTGCAGTAATTGTTGAAGGATCAAATTATATTTTGACCATTTTATCATACTCTTTTCTAATTGATTCATCCTGTTGTTTTTTTTTGCAAGTGAATCTTTCAAAATTCCAATAATCTAACACTTTCTTCAGCAGTTGGACGTTTATCTGGATTAGCATCCATGTTAAAAATTTGAAATTTCGTGTAACCTAAAAATAGGGTGTGTAGATCAATCCGAATTTTTGTTAACTTATTCGTGATAGGGATAAAAAAACCAATTTTGACCAGGGAGGACTCGTGTCCAGTTTTTCCTATATAGAAAACCCCCATACAAAAAAATATATCAATTCGTGGCTTAAATTCTGAGGATTATGGATATGTATCCATATTTTCTAGAACTTTTGAAAAATTTTAATGTGGTTTTTTAATCATTGCTCTAAAACTTACATAATAATATTGCTTTAAATTTTTACATGTAATAATTTAAAATCTCTTGACCTCTGATATAATTTTTATAATGTGACATTGGATTTTAGTTACTTTCTTGGAAAACAAATTTACAGAATTATTTTCGCAACACAACTATATTCAACTAATCATCACAAATAATCGAAAATCAAGCTTAATAATTCTGCAAGTTGTCAATTTTTGGTGTACTGCTAGTTGAAAACCTAAAGATTGTTATCATGCAAAAATATTTATAGCATAAATGTGAATTCCGAATAAATATTTTTCTCGCTCGTTTATAATCGAAGGTACAGTATTAGGAGCTGTTCTCGTTAAGATAAGTTTGCCAATTCTGAGAATTGAATATGTTGTAAATATGTAAGATTATTATCATGTAATACCGCCGACGAAAACTAATGGATAATTGTAAAAATTTGCTTTGCTTTGCACAAAATGAAAATGGATGTTTCCATAGTAAGTTACATCAAATGCCCTGATTTTTTTTTAACTAATGTAAAAAAAAATTACGAGCATTGTTTTTAAATTTATTGCTAATAATAAAAATACATAAAAGTTTTCTGTTTTTTTTTATTTATTAAATGAGGAAAAATGGTTTTATTGTTTATAATTCGGTTTAACAAGAAACAAATTTCATAGGATAGAGATAGATTAGATAATAATCAATAATAGTAGATATCTAAAAAATGGTTAACAGGAATTGCCTTTTCTGCATCGATCAACTTGAGTTTTTAACATAATAAAAAAATAATAAATAAAAAATAAAAATAATAAATAATTTTGCGAGACATTATCTTTCATTATATCAATATCAAATTGTTAATAATAATCAAATATGCCTATTGATCCTCATATGAAAAGGCCCGTCGAAAATAATTCATTTTTAAAATCAATAGCTAACAGCCGAGGGTGGGGAAGTCCTGACATTTTTAGTGTGAGAGGATCTGTAAGCATTCCATTATCACTATTTATTAATTGTATTTATTAATTGTATTTATTAATTGATAATTAACCAACTAATTATTTATTAATGCTATAGGTTATTGTTGCAATTATACCATTTGTTTTCTTTTCAACAATTATTTCTACTGTCGTAACTGTTTTGTATATTATTTTTGATAAAAAAAATATCACGCTATCTAATGACATAAGTACGAGAATTATAAGTTATCAAATACTATTATTATTA